TAGGTAAATATGTCTTGGGCACATACGGGTCTCTAAGCATTGACTTGATTCGGTTATAATAAATAATAATCGTTCATATTTAAATTTAAACGCATTTATTTAGTTCTGCAATACATAAATATGGGTTGGATATATTTGAGCCTGTAGGCATTTACTTGGTTTGGGAATATTAATTAATCCTTTATACTTTTACTTACAAGCGTTTACGTGGTTCAGTAATAGGTAAATATAAATTATTTATATTTGAGTCTATAAGCAAGTTCGTGTTTAGGTAAGTATTAGTCGTTTATATTTGATACTGTGAGAATTTACCTTTATCTGGTATAAGTATACATTAGGGTTACATATTTGATTCCGTACGCATTTCCTTGGTCGGTGATACATCTTGAGCGGGATCTTATCCCTATGTGGGAACTGCAGTTGGCGTATTTACGATGCCTCAGAAGCAGAGTAAGGAAAGGAAAGTCGATAAGAAGAAATAAAATAGCACCCATTTTTAATGTAAGGAACCTGTGTGTGGCCAGTTACAATAAATTAAGTAAAATTTCCCCTGCTTCGCCTGTAAATTTTACTTGCCTCAACCTTTCAGTGAAAATAAATTTTCCCTTCGAGTTACATAACCGAATATGCTACAATCGTAGCATATATATATATATATATATATATATATATATGTGTGTGTGTGTGTGTGTGTGTGTGTGTGTGTGTGTGTGTTCTTTTATCCGTATTTCAATCAATTGACACTCTGGCATTGGTCATGTTTTTCCACAATATTGTTCTAGACGTTACAAATTGATAACTTTGCAATCTACACTTCAGAACTTCCTACGAATAACAAACTTTTAAAATGCTTTTAAAATATTAATGAATACTAATCTCTTTGCATATATTTACTAAGTTCAACCTAGCCGGGTACAAGGGCAAAATAATAGGGTACTTAGTCAATTACGGAATTCAATAGACACCCAGTAAATTATCAATATCAGCTAACTTCGACGTTCTTATATGAGAGATACCGAATGCACTTACCAAGTTTAGTGCGGTAGAAAGCACAAAACGGAGAAGATCATGAAAAAAAATGTTTTACTAATCATCGAAGAGACGAATGACATGAAAATCAGCATTCTAATATGTAGAGGGCTTGATCGTCACTAGGTACCCTATTACTTAACATCTTACTGATATATGTGTAAATAAATTGTATAATATAAATATTTGCATGTCTATATCTATGTATCTAGCTAGCTAGAGATAGGTTCTGTTAGTCAATAGAATAGTTTCCCATTGTTGTTTGTGGCAAATCATTAAACCCAGTTGAATGGGAGAATATATTATGGTCCTCGGAAGTAGACAGAAGTGTGCGTTTTTGTTTTTTGACTGGAAAAGTGATAGCAACAGAAAGCAATGTCGAAACACACGTCGGAGGAGTAAGTGTAAATTTTTGGGCAAGCTCCAGATGGAAAATGTCGGGTTCAATCCTACATGTAGAAAGTACTTTATCGAGTACTAGCAGTAGAGCCCGGCGTTGCCCGGGGATGTAACAGTAAGAGATAGATCAAGTATCGACCATCATAAAGACTGAAAAATAAAATTGACAAAGATTATTGTTTAAGGTTGACAGACATTAATGTCTTAATTAATTTTTGTCTTGTTTTTTTTTTTTTTACGAATTGGTCAAATCCAAACTCAAACAAAAACATTGTTTTCAATCGTTATGAGTCTACCGATTGAATAGAATTTTATTATAAACAATTGTCTTGTAAGTGGAATTTGTAAAGCATTCTGAATGTAAAAATAAAGAAAAAAGTGTGCAAGACAATAAGAAACACTACCTGCCAAAAAAAGTTTTGTTGAAATCGGTTGAAAAATGTAGGGAATCCGTTCCAATATATAAACGTACAGACACACACACACACAATCTGCGTTTTATAATAAGTAAGATTATTGTTGTTATTTAAAACCACATATTGATTGTTACAATTCTCTATGATATTGTTTTCCATCAGGACAATGCATCTGTATGATTTTTACGGAAATAGATTGGTAAATAGGAATAAGAAGTGGATGGTTTGAACTTACCATCAAAATCCCCAATTGATCAGATGCTGGAATTTTGTCGTTAGATTCTAAAAGAATCCTTTGGGGATATTCTACTTATAAGCTAAGTGATTGATTGAGTGAGAACAGTTTTGCGGTCGAATAGCTTTACAAGAACTTATTAGGAAGATGGTCATAATAATTTTTTTGCTGTTCATAATATACGCTTAAATTTTTGGTTTGGATTTGAGCCAGTATCGCTCGTCTGTTAACACCAACAATTCTAGACAGACACCTATGTCAGACAGAAAACAACACTATCTATCAAGCATCTCCTCTTTACTAGTTACATTTTCGATTAGGAAATTACAATATCTCCAATGTCTAAGAAATTGGAACTTCCAACCATCTGACACCCACAATACTTCAAACGAATAATTTATGTCGGCTCGTAATATGCAGACTCGTTATTGTTCGCACTGACTCACCTTATAACATCACACAGATGATATTGGTCTTGGCATTGCCATGCAGTAACTGTAGATTGGTGCCAGTTGTCATGTTCTGAGCACCCTGTTAACCTGTCATTTTTTTACACAAACGTAACGAAAACGGACTTTTAGTCGTGGATAAACATCTATTCTACTTTATTCTGTTTATTTATTCTGACAAATGTTATTTGCAAAGTTAATAAGTACCCACACGACAACATTAAATGAAAACATATTTATTGAATTTTAATAAGTATTTAAAATATCTAAAGTTCATACCTCCTCAGCATACTCTATTCTCAACGGTCATCAAATTTAACCGTGAATAGAGACTTGCAAATAAATGATTGTTTATTAACAATTAAACTTCAAACTGAAGTTATACATAAATATTTTATTGAATTCTATATACACTGGTTTTAAAATACAGAGAATTCCTCAAGGACAATTATCAGCTTCCAAAAAAGAACTTGGACGACATATTGGCAGATTCAAACGGGAAAGACAAATTAGCATATTTAAACCGTTCGAATATTCATATGCTTGTAAACATGTTCTACCAGTCAAAACGTTCACAATTAGAGCCCACCATGCTGCGCACTCAGGTTTTATTGAGCCTTATTAACTTCGTATTCCGTGGGTAAGAATAAGTTCCACACAGAATCTTTCTTCCCTCGAACTGTTACTTTATGGGATAAACTGCACGAGATGATGCTTCCCCAATCATTATGACCTTTACCTCTCGAATTTTAGACTCAACATGTATCTATCCTACTTATACTTACAATAAACACTTGTTAGGCCCATGGAAAAAGACCTCAATCCGTAACCCCCAATCTTTTGTGGATATTGAGCCTTGTCTCTGTTGGGTGAAAAATAGTATCTAAAAAAGCATACGCAGACTGTACTCAATTAGTCATTCACCGTCTAGAGTGCTTCATCAGACATTGGGTTTCAATTTCCGTCTGTGTCGGGGTAAAATAGAAAGTAAATCGTCGGTGTACGTTCACAAGTGAACAGAAGATGAAGTGTTGACAAGCAGTGAAAAGAAAACACGAATTCTCTTTTAAATATATTGGGTTATTTATTTGGGGATTCGTTTTGCTTTTTTCATAACAGACGAACGAACAAAATCATCTCTTTATTCGATTGATTTCCGACTCGACGTTTCTCTTGAACTAATCGTCTCTCTACTTTCATTCTGACTACGAACTCTCTACAACTACGTCTCTACACCCCTCTACTTAGCGACCTGTATCTTTTTAACTATTTTAGTATGCGTCCTGACTATATAGGCTCAAGACCGAAATTCCCTATTTTACGAGCCTAGTAGCACTTGATCCCAAAAGTTTTCTTCTATTTATTTATTCGCTCAATTTCTTCTTTCTTTTGAACTAATTGTGGATATATTACTTAAATACTTTACTTCTAACAAACTTTATTTCTACAGAGTAACGAACAAAATCTTCCCTTCGATCAGCAAGAATTCGACCATGTCTCTGCCCATCTGTACTTACTGACCTGTAGCTTTTTAACTGACTATTCTAGAAAAAATACTATAAACTGACTATATAGAAATTTCCCTTTAGTGTAGCATACCTACGGACGATAATGTGTATGTCCATATTTATATAAAAACAGTACTAAATACTGTATGTTGGTCTACAGTTCTAGATTCGTCTCCAGATGTGCTGGTAAAACTATCTGCCTCCTGGCAGAGAGGATCCACAGACGAAGGGCAGAGTCTTGTCTCAGGAAACAGTTACCCGACCCCGTATTATAGAGTGTCTACGGGGATTTTTTGGCTGAGTCTACGGGCTCGGATTGGGTATCCCCGTAGACACTCTATAATACGGGGTTAAATTTGCCCTTGTGCCACATCTGACCGCGTAGGGCGGTTGGTAGATATCCAGCAGTTGAAGATTCCTTGTGAAATTCACTTGACTCACTTCTAGCAGTTGACTACTTCTACGCGCCGCTGGCGAATTTTATATGTGTTGTTCGTGTTTTAAGTATTATCGTTCATTACCAACCTTTGTGTGATTATTCTATTCAATAACCTTCCTTAGGTTACAACACCTATTTCCCAGCCGAACAGCACTTGATCCCAAAAGTTTGTTTTATTTACTTTTTTGCTCAATTTCTTCTTCCTTTTGCACCAATTGGGGATATCTTAATGACGTTATTCTACTTATAAATGACTACTTTTGTTTGCGCTTATCAAGACAGAGTTTCACTGTGTGATATTTCTGCAAACTAAAACTCTACAATTGAGTCCTGGAAGTTGAAGATAGCATTATGAAAGAAACAGTTGTGAAGATATGTTATAAAAAGCATCTTCATGACAAAAACAAACAATTTATTCTGTTGTCTACTGATTAGTTTTATCATTTCGAAGTTCAACTGAATACCATGATGGGTAATCAAATCATACGAATATATAATCGATGTTTCTCTGCTTTATTAGAAGGCTTACGCTCATAACACGTTAAAACACAAATTCTCATCCGATCACCGAAGTTAAGCAACGTTGAGCCTGGTTAGTACTTAGATGGGTGACTACTTAGGAATAATAGGTGCTATAATCTTGGATGTGCAAGTGGTGTAATGGACAATGACTCAGAATTAGAAATTGAAAAACCGAGTTCGAATTCCAATGGGGTTCATTACATTCACTTACGCGCGAATACCCTTGGGAAAGTTGTGAATACATCTTTTCCACTACCCCCAGCTATGGGTTAATTGTTAGGACTCGTATTTGAAAAGCATTATTATATCCGAAAACTAATGCAGTATTCACTCAGAAAATATAGAATTACTTTAACAATCCCCCAAAATGGTTTTAAATCACATCAAAAGGGTGATAAACTCTAAAAAAAAAACAAATGAATCTATCTTTTAACAGATACTGTTGGCTGTAAATCCCAAACTAGGTTATGTTTTCACATTTTATGCACATTTTCTCATATAAGCTGCAATTTCCACTTTTATCCATTCATTTCCAGACAGATGACTAACGTGTTTCCAATGAAATATAAACATGCACCGTTCATTTCATTATTCAATTCCATCGCAATCATTATATATATATATATATATATATATATATATATATATATATATATATATATATATATATATATATATATCCGACTCTTCTTTATCTACTCAGTGATAATAAAGAGTGTCATAGGTATTTCTTGCCACTGAATATGTATTTGAAATGTTTGTTTCCCATTCTCTATTTTGTATGCGTGTCAATATCACAGAATGTCGAGAATCACTCAACATCTTCTGTATAAATGACTCAAATAATTACTCTTTTCAGTCAGGCAATTAGTTAAAATTTGCTTTCGTCTCTAATACTATACGGTTAGTTTCAAATTAAAACCTGAATTCTATTACTTATATTAGAGGCAGGCAGTTTATCGGCTGTTATTACAACGTTATCGTTGTACAGACTAATGAAAACGCGAGATTAAATCTTCCATGTCTACTAATATTGTTTTTTCAACTCCGGAATGACACATGTACTAGCGAATAGGTGTGTGGTTCTGGCGTTTTCTCCGAACGTAGATTCCAAATTCTCGGAAGGATATAAGAAACTCTTCCCTTCTTCCCTCTCGAGTGGGTGCTTATTCATCTACCTGTCATCAAGTTGATCCAACGTGCGCACAGTCTAGGCTCAGCTGAATCGAACGACTGCTTATATTTCGGGAAAGTTACTGACATGTACCGAAGTCGTGAATATGCACTTAACGGCTAGGAAAATACCTCTAATGTCAACTCGGAGATGCATATGGCCTTTCTGTTGGATAATGAGTGCAAAATCGTTTTTGATATCATTTAATGTAGAGTAACATCATTCTGATATTATTTTGTGTCGACTGACATAGGCGAAAAAGTGATGTTCGATATCCGATTTAAAACAAAAAGTCTATCCATATTTCGTGTCAGTGCTTAAGTTACCGTTAAAAAGAGATGAAACCAATAATTTTGATAAATAATATTTTAGAAATCTAAACACTGACTACTTGAAAGCTTGTCGTCACGCGGCTCACTAAACTATGATTGATATTGATTGATGCTATCTTTTACTGCCGTATCTCTTGAGAACGCAAGCGATCATTGCTCTCCACAGCTTCCATACTTTCTTTTATGTTTCTTTCGCCTAGACTTTTGTGAAAGATCGCGGTTTCTCGTTGCCTTCACGGATGTAATTTCAGAGAAATCTTTCTAAACTATCTGCTACCCAAATGCAGAGAGTGAATTACCGACAATTTCATCTATGGAAGCCCGGTGGAGTAGTTGACATTGGCTTGGATTTACGAATCGGAGAGTCGAGTTCGAATTCTAGTCGAGTTCATTACATTCACTTACGTGCTAATAGCCATAGGATAAACGCATTTGTTCTGCACCCAACCAGCTATGGGTAAACTGCAGGACAGACATGATCCTATAACCCAATAGACTTTGTTGACGACTAGTCAACAATTGTTATAGTGTTATATGGAAGGGTGAATTCAAACCATTCTGGAGAGTCATGAGATCCATCCAGCTATCAGAAACACCAGAGATAGTACAGTTGCAGTACAAGTGATGCCTCTAGGTTCCTAGACATTTACGGTCATGATTTAACTTGAAGTGGGGAGAAGAAACGTGTCCATGTTAGTAACAGAGATATTAGCGTGGAAGTTAACGAAACAGATTCGGTCAAAATCTGATCAGATTCGAATTTCTGCACTAACAGTTACATTAACTGCGCCTCTTCCTCTTGGAAAGACTGGCCATTTGTCATAAATACACACTGCCCCTTCTTTCCTACTGACCTAACTTGGAGCGACTATATCGAATCAATAGCTGCATCTGCAGCAAGGAAAACGGGATCGTCAGAATCCATCTTGCACATTTAATAGTCTATCATCCATCCGTGCAATGAATATTGTTGTCATATCTAGTCTGCTACTCCTATTGTGCATCTCGAGACTCTTGAAAAAAATCCAAAGAAGGATTTTTAATATAACTCACCCTGACCAGGCATCTCGACTTTAGTCATTTTCTCACTGAAGAGACGTGGCCTCCCTTTGTCCTTTCTATTAATATTTTCATGCAAACTGCCCTGACGAGATTTTTTTTTTCCTCTGTGACCCCGACTACATGAATATAAGCGATTCTACATTATACTGTTCAAAAGGTTACAACCAAAATTCCAACAAACAGCCCCTGAGGAAAGTTAGGGCCTACAACGTCCGAAACGTCGTGAATATGGCAATAAAGATGAGGACAACAGTTCGAACAATGTAAATAGTTGAAATCTCAAAAATAGAAACAAAAACTAATATATCAGTGAAACTTCTGTGTGTGTCTGCTTTTGTGCTAAATGTATTGCAATGAGCTTACAGTGTGCACCTGGTAAGTGAGAATAGATTATGATATAAATAGAATACTGGGGAAGAAATTTCAATTTTTTGTCTATTGAATTAGATTTGTCTTGTGGTTCAGTGTAATTTGGGTGCACTGAACATGAATTTCTACTTGGTTTTTCTCTATCAGATCCTGATTTTGCTCAAGAAAAGGTCTTAAATCTTATCAAATATAGGAAGCACATTTTATACAGCCTGTTGGTTGCCTCAGCTTTACTCCTCTTAGTTCTTTTATTCTATTGTGTGTACTTGCTTTATTGGTGTTGCTCATCCTTTCTCTTTCCGTGCACTTTTCATTAAACCATTTCTCTTTAGCCTGACTACATATGTTTCTAATTTCTATGTTAAGTCTTCTCTACTATTTACGGTATTTACAAACCAAACCCTTTATTTAGTCCACAGGGCTAGAATGTTCTAGGTTTTCATGGCATACATTTGAATATCTCAGCTTCAGTTAATTCCCCTTGATAACTCCAAGATTTTGTAATCAAGGATGGATCTCACAACTCTTTGGTCAAGTGAATAAAAACGTTGTTGACCCAAATATGACTTGACCCAATACTGAATAAAAGGTTCAAATCAAAATTCTAACAATCTGACCCTGAAGGAAACCAGGGCGTACAACGTCCGAAACGTTGGCAATAAAGATGAGAACAACAGTTTAAATAGATGAAATCTAAGAAATAGAGATACAAAGAAATAAATCAGTGAAACTTCTACGCATGTCTGCTTGTGTGTTTGTGTATGTGCATGCGTGTGAGTGTGTGTTGGATTGTGATTGCTCCATAAATCAAAACGCATTTGAAAAAAAAATTACATACCGTTATTTTCTTGTTTAATTATTAGAGAAATTTTGAATTTTCAAACTCACCTGCAAGAAATAAAAAGATCGATAAATTCATGTATCAGATATTGATAAAACTTAGATTTAGCTTAGATTACGACGATATTATTTCGTATTACACAAATACATACACACATATATGCCAATCACAGCACAATGCTAAAAACACAAAAATATGATAGGAAGCTATTGTAGTCACAGTTCGAAAATAATCTGAAAAGAAATATTAATATTCTAATTTAAATCAGAAGTGAAACACTAACTCCACAGGAATTGATGAGAGCCTAACAACTCCCAAAGCCTCGAAAAAGACACACTGTATCTTATATGAACATAGTCTAGTATATTAAAGCGTTGGTTCGTGATATTGTTAGCATAGAGATTGTTAGTTCAATCCCTGAGCTGGATATTTTTACTCAGAATCAGTTGGAAAAGTTTGGGCAATAGCAGAGCAGTAGTAAATAAGAACAAGTTTAAATATTGAACAAGTTCAAATTAATTCAACGATAGATTAAATGAAGGGCCCTATTTGAAAGTCCCTGAAGTTTACATAGACACCTGACGAAGGCTGGAGAACACAACGGTCGAAAAGTTGTGATAACGACCCAACGATGAAAACATAATCCCAGAAATTAAGACATAATCTCAGGAATAAGTTAAATTTCGATCGGTAATCAAAATATAACTCTAAAGATAACAAATCAACTCCGGGTTTTTCTTGTGGGGTAATAGTTAACAAGCTAGTCTAATGGAGAATAGTATACATAGTTTTATTCTTGTCTGTACCTCTGAGAGATTAACATTATATACGTTTTGAACACATTGCAATTTGACGCAGTAAAACATTCAGTCAGTTGAGTGCCATGCATGATACACGCTTAGGCGATCATGTAACATTCAATACATGACTGACGAGGCAGATTTTTTTTTTTTACCCAGAGTAGGTTGTCATTTCTTTTTGTGGTAAACCAGTTGCCATCCAAGGCTATAGAACCCGGTCTGCCCTGCTATTTATCCATAGCTGGTGGGGAAAAGGAGGAGATTCATACCTTTCCCAAGGTTATTAGCACGTAAGTGAATGTAATGGATTCGACTGGAATTCGAAGTCGGCTCTCTGATTCCATTACACTTACCGTTCCTCCTTACATTACGAAATGTATGGAGAGAGAGAATCCAGGAATTTCGTCTAAATTGAATGTTTAATGAAATGGTCTGGTATAGCCTGTTATTAGTTCCATCCTGATTGCTTTTATACCAGTTGTAATGTGCATTTTTCATATTCTTTTTAGGAGAAACACAATGACCGGAACAATTAA